CTATGTTGGAGATAGGGAGTAGCAAAAGGAAGGGACAGCACTTCTGAATGGCTTCTGTCCCCACTCAAATAGCTGCAAGTCATGAGATGATATTGCTAGCATATAATAAACACTGTTGGCTAATGTCTTTAGTGCTACCAAAAAGAACTAAACACACTTCCCATGTCATTCATTTTTTTTAAGGATGACTATTCCCAATTCCAATGATTATCACTTCTCTCTTGGTAGTAATATTACTGCCTATTATGTTACCTCCACCAAATCAGAACAAAATGAAACGCAAATAATAAACTGATTTAATTTAGCTAATAAATAAGGAAAAAAGATAGAGATCTGTAAATACAATTTATATTTAAGCTACATGAAGGCAGGGACCAAATGTATGTTGGATCCCAGGCGGCCACAGACCCAGCTAAACTGAATCTTAGGTCACTCCTAATTTCAAACAAAACAGAGTAATCCTCCTTTCACCACATCACTCCCCCAGCCCCCAAATTAAATTATACTTCAGAGCACCTGCAGTGTCGCAGAGGAATTCTCCATCCCCTACCTATCTGGGATTCCTGGACAGGACAGACTCGGGGCACTAGAGACAGCCAGCCTGATTTCACCTAACAAGCTCGGTAAGAAGAGGTCCAGAGTAGGGAGGGCGGGAAAAGGTATAAACTAGAGCGATTCCTCCAAAAACCGTCTTCAGAAAGCTTCAGACAGAAGAGTCTGGACTGTCCAGGCCCGCGTCGACAGGTTGCCCGGCAACGGGCGCAGCTGAGCAGGGCTTCTGATTACACTCTCTCACCTCCAGGGACCAAAAGGTCGTCGGCCCGAGTCCCAGTATTCGTTCTACGCCACCTCCCGTCCCGTCAATCTGCCTCCTCAGTTCCGCCGCCTGGCTGACCTGAACTGAACGTGTCGCGGGAGACTCTGCCACGCTCTGAGAAGTACTTGCTGGAAAACCCAAAGGGGTGAAACCTCCGCTCCAGCCACCGGAGCCTCCTAGGGAACCGGCTCCGTGGCGCCTCTAAACCCCGGTGAGGAGCTGGAGCGGACTCACTCACCTGCCTTTCTCCTGAGCAAGGAAAGGGCCAAAGCCCGGCCCGGATTCACGGCAGTTGTGTAATAATTTGTCTAACTGAATTCTGTTTAACATATTTCATAAGGCACCTATCTGTGCGCAGCGCCCATAATAATGTTTTGAGGGGAAGAAATTTATGCATATGCTGTAATATCTGCTCTCAAGGAGCTTGCACTTTTTTTAAAAAAAGATGGCAATATATTATATAGAGATACATCAAGATATTAGACATGGATATTACTTTAAATTTGTGTGAACATGTATACATATAGATGATTACATGAATAATTGCACATGTATGTATGTGTATTTGCGTGTGTGTGTATAATTACAATTTAAAATGATGTAAGGAAAGGGCAAAGTCTTAGAAATCAAGAAACCTGCATTTTGTTTTTTGCCAATTTTTTTTTTGACACCAAGTTTTGCTCTTGTTGCCTAGGCGGAGTGCAATGGCATGATCTTGGCTCAATGCCCCCTCCACCTCCTGGGGTCAATCGATTCTCCCACCTCAGTCTCCCAAGTAGTTGGGATTAGAGGCGCCCACCACTATGCCCAGCTAATTTTTTGTATTTTCAATACAGACGGGGTTTCATCATTTTGGCCAGGCTGGTCTCGAACTCCTGACCTCAGGTGATCCCTCCGCCTCTGTCTCCCAAAGAGTTGTAATTACAGTCGTAAGCCACCATGCCTGACCCAGATTTTTTTTTTATGTATGATCACTCCTCACCTATAAAGGGAAAAAGCTGGTTTAAATAATTTCCAAGGTTCCACTCCAATCAAATATGCACTAACTTTCCTAAATTACACAGCCAGGAGTCAGATATTCAAATTACAAGTAAGAGTTTATGAAGGTTAATCCAGTACTTCTCCCACATAATCATGTTTTTCTAACCTGCAGTAACTTCAAAATTAGCTTCCCTCAAAATATATGTATCAAGACGTGAATATTTCCAGTATTTCCTGGAGCCAGTTTGGTAGTAAAAATGCAAATACATTTTTATACAGATAAAGTATAAAAATTGCAAAGTAAGTAAATGAGGTATAATGTAATCACTCTGTATTTTTCTGTGCTCTGTACTCCATAAAATTCATCCACCAATTACCCCCACATAGAGAGAAAAGCAAAAATAAATAACGGAAAATATACCATAAAAACAAAACAGAAAACCAAATTTAACTTTTAAAAGTTAAAAAATACCTTAAAAATTCTGGTGCCCCAACTAACCTTGGCCATTCCACAAATAGATGTTCAAGAAAATAACATTAGGATATGCACTTGTCGATTCCTGGCAATTAGACTTTTCACATATGAAGTTTTTTAGTGTTTCTGAATATAGCTGTCTAAGCCATTGGGAACATGGTCTAAAAAACATAATGTATACAATTTAGACATTTTGTTAAAACATCTATTAGAAGAGTAATGTCTTGGATTATGTTTTGACTGTATATGCTCTACTTTTACCAATTTTAAATCCATTACTCTATGAAACTTTTGTTGTTGTTATAGGCAGTTAATTTCTCTATAAATAAAACTAAATTAACTATCTGTTAACCTTTATCCCTATTAACCTTATCCCTATTAGCCTTTACTATTTTGCAGATCCAAAATAATTTGCATTTGAAGCTCAACTTAAAATTTTCATCTACTTGATCATTCATTAATGCATTCAACATTCACTGAGTACCTACTACTTGAAAATATGTATCTTTATGCATTCATTTGACCACCTATGTATTTGACAGTCACTGAAGACCTTCTATCCTCAAATATGCCCAATATTAGAAAAAGTGAAATATATAAGCCGACCCAGTATTTCCTTTTATATGATTACATCGAGTCAATTAAATCTCTTTCCTTTATAATAAAAAATATATATGTATTTATTGAGCCCTTCATATATATGTATATATATATAAAACAATTAAAATATAGTTTTTGCTCTCAAGAAGCTTACAATTGTAAGAGAACTCATTTATTTATTCAACCAATTTTTACTGAGGGCCTAAAGGTTCAGCTCCTGTTCAAGATGCTAGAGATACAGCAATGAAGAAAACAAAGCCACTATTGTGATGAAGGTTACAACCTGATAGAGAAGGCAGATGTTAAAAAAATAAATAACATAAATTCAGGAGGTAATTAATGCAATGAAGGAAAATATAACAGGTTAAGTGGATAGGCACTGACAGGGAATGTAGAATGATCAGGGAAGACCTCACTAAAGGGAACTCTATAAAGGGCATTGCAGGCAAAAGTAATAGTAAGTGCAAAGGAGCTGAGAAGAGGTCATCTTTATCAAGTTGATAGATGTGGCTGATGCAGAATAAGCCAGGAGAGAATGCAGGAAAGAGGCCAGAGATTTAGCCATGGTCAGATTATGTAGTGTCTTTTGGGCCATACCTAGGACTTCAGATTTTTTGTTGTGCCCCCCCGCCCCACAGTAATGTGAGCCAATTCCTTAAAAGTCTCTTTCTCTCTCTCTCTCTCTCGTTCTCTGTGTGTTTGTGTGTGTATACACACATATGTATATACCTATAGACATCTGTATCTCTATGTAAATGTATATATGTCTATAGGCATACATACATATACATATGTGTGTATACACATAGATTTATATATAGAGAGATAGCTTTATATATAAATGTATATGCCTATAGACATCTGTATATCCAGGAAGAGACATATATGTATAGACACATGTAGATATACATACCTGTATCTATTTCTCTATCCGTATACCTACACACACACATATATATGTTCATGTCTAAATCTATGTGTATTTTGGGTGTGGGATATCAGAAGCTCGGTTTGGACTATGTATGTGACACAGAAGTAGCATATACAGCAATTCTCCATTAGCTAGTAGTAGACTATAAACATATTCTCTATTGCCCAGTAGAATTTCCATTAGGATCCTTCCATTTCTTCTTTTTTTATAATCTAATTTTCTGCTTTTTATTTAAAAAAAAATAGCAGCTGCATCAAAGTAGTTTGTTTTGCTTGTTTGTGTGTGTGTCAAGATTGACTAGGCAGAACATTCAGTAGATGTAAATATGTGTTCACTTGAATTTAATGGCACTGTAAACAACTTCAGATCACTAAGTAAAAATGTTTATTTGAAACACAGAAATACTAAAAAAAATTAATGTCATGGGGGATAATGCTGGTTTAGTACTGAATATCAATATAACTGATGTAATGAATTTAAAACATTAAGCCAAATTAAGTTGACTTATATTGTGATGCAGGTAAAATAGACAATCAAATGGACTCTGTTCATCCCAGTCTCAGCATATCAATTAAAGCAACTCTTGGAATCTACTAGTCACCAAACAGTGGCTCCGTTCCAAACTGTCAAAAAGGGAAGATTTTGCCAAGAGGAACTACTTGGCTACATCTTCCAGGTGTCTATGTTCATCTTTCTAAGCAGTCAGTCTCCTCACATGAAAAAACAGAAGCAAATTATTAAATGTTTGACAAATTGACAATTTCGTATCATGGTATGTCACTGTATAGGAACTGCCTATTCTTACTCTGTTCGCAATGTCTGAGGGAAGTGGCAATACGATTCTAGTTTATTTAGAACAATAAAAATCTATACACGGAAGTTGCCTGTGTGCTTTGCACTCACCTGGCCCGCTGTCAGCATCCCGCACTTGTTCTTTACCTAACACTGTGTGGCTTGCATATTGCAGTCTGTATTACAATCCGGGATCGCTCTGCAGATTACAGACTGAATCCACAGAAAGCAGTTTGGAGTTTGGATGGTTGAAACTCCCAGCACCAGAGGGCGACTCAGAGCTTTCCCCTGTAGCCCAGGGCTCTGTAGAAGGCGAACCCTGCTGCCTGTTCCTTCCCACAGCGACACTGACGAGGGGATCCAGCCTGCTGGGCATCCCCGCGCGCGACTGGAGCCTGTATGGAACCAAGGGAGAGTGTGGTGTCGGGGGAGGGGAAATCTGGTTGCCCCAGCCGTTACTGGTTAGCGCCGTCAGGGCATCCTCCACATCCTTCCATGGCTCTAAAGAAGTTCAGTAATTTATGGACCTTGTGTCTGTGTTTGGTGGCCAGTAGATCTTCCAAAATCCCATCTATCACAGATCCACACTTTATAAATGACTGTGTCGAAGCCCACAACGAATGGCGGGGAAAAGTCAACCCTCCGGCGGCCAACATGAAATACATGGTGAGAAAGAACCCAGGCTGGGCTCTTATATCTCTGGCTCATCCTAAAGTATCTGGGTGGTAAATTTTACGGACTTACTTATACTAATTCAGTCCGGACTTCATATATATGCAGTTTAAAAAAAAAAATCACACCTTGTCTGAGCTGTCTTCTCCAGAGTCATGATAGCAGTGAACAGGAAAGAAAGATTGCTCGAAGCTGTTCCTTGTCTCTTGCGGGGAAGGCGGGTTGCTGGGGCGGTGTTTGGAGGTTGCTTTGTTGCACCACTAAGGTTATAAGTACTTCACACAGGATTATTTTGTTTCCTTTCCTCCATTTTTTGGCTTGCATTTTTCATCCCGCACAACCAAGATACAAGATATCGAAGAAATACCCCAGAAATGGAGATTCTCTTCTCTTATTTTTATGTCATGTGAATCCAAGATCTCAACAACACTTCACGTGTATTCATCTTAATAAAAAAATTACAAGGATGAGAATATTGAAATCAGGAGTTTATATCAGATAGTCATTTTCATGAAAAATAATAAATATATAAAATTTAATTCCAAAAACATTGAACTAATTGTGTACTTTGCAGACCTCCATCATATAGACAATAAGGCAAAAGACTGTACTCTAATGAAGAATAAGCATAAAAACCATTGGAGTATTAAAATAATTCATAGAATTTACAAAATGTTAAATACTTGACAATGAATTATATGACTGGAAATTATCCTTGCATTTTAACTTCTTCTTGTTTTTAAATATGATATTATTATAAACAGAAACATTGATAGTATTAGTCTATTTTATGTACTGTGCAGATGTAGATACAGAATAACTCCTATCTATTCCTGCTTTCCTCTTTTCTATCCAATGGAAAACAAATGGTAGTCATTATAAAATCATAACTCAGGCACTAAAATAAATTCAAACTGTGCTATCCTACTGTGTAAGAAAATTATATTTTGTTGTGGGAGAAAGACTCAAATAGATATCAGAAATGGAACAAGAATAAATTCATCTTTTTAATTCAGAATTGTTAAAGGCATTTTAAAACATAATGCTTACTAGCTTGGCGTTGTCCAAGGCATAAATGACTTAAATAAATCTTCAACTCAATTCAGAAATGCTGATATTAGTAAAGATATGGGTGATGTCTTTAGAGTTTTATTGTATATTGTATGATTTAAAAAAAGAGTAAATGTGGGGGTTAAATATAATAAATATTCCTTATATTTCTTTTATACTCACTGACTATTTAAGGCAAATATGATAACAATGAATTGTGGGGTTTATAATGTAGAAACAAAACACATTATAATCAATGCATAAAAAATGAAGAGAGGCATCAATAGAATTATTCTGCTGAAAATTCCTTATATTGTTAAGAATTACAATAATATTTCCAGATGGACGTGAGATGATAAGAATGCATATTTTAATAACCACTAAAAATACAAAGAAGTTAAGCTAAAAAATCCAGTAAATAGAATACTAAAAGTACTTTATTAATTTTTGGAAAACAGGAACAAGGAACAAAAGAACGAAGAGGGAATCAATTAAAAATAGCAAATGGTAGACTAAAACTTAACCATGTTAAAATTATATTAAATGAAAATGATTACTACATACTTTAATTAAAGTTAAAGATTATCAGACGATTCATGCTTTTGTAACAGAAACACATCACAAACAGGATTAAAGTAAAAAGATGGAAAAATACATTATGCAAACTCTAAAATTAAGATAGAGTCACTACATTTATAGCTACCAAAGTAGGTTTTAAGACAAGGAGAACTATTAGAAATAAAAGGAGATATTTAGGAATAATAAAAGGGCCAATTAAACAAAAGACACAGCAATCTTTAATGCAAATAAATGTAATAATGTATCTTACTATACAAAAATTGGCAAAAGTAAAGGGGAGAAAGAGACAAAACAGTCATAGAGATTTAAACCTTAGTGAATAAGAGAACAAGTAGGTAAAAATCAGTAAAAATAAAAAAAGATTAAATGAATATTTTAGGAAAGAAAAATAGTTAAAAATCAAGACCTATTCTTTCAACTCAAGAAGGTAGGAAATGAGTGTAAATTAAGCACAAGAAAAATAAAAGTAAATATGAGCATAATTTGATGAAATTGAAAGTAAAAGTATGTTGGACAAAAATCAATAATATCAAAAGTTGGTTTTAAAACTACATATGAATAAAATTTCTAAACCACTGGCAAAAAACAAAAAGATTAATGAAGAAAGACATAACTCAAAAATTAATTTTAGAAATAAAAAATCACTTTTAAAAAGCTCCAAACATCAAATGGATAGAGAATATTTTGAAGAACTCTATGCCAATAAATTTGATAGCACAAAGAAAATAAATGAACAAATATATTGAAAATCAAAATTTTATAAAGTTGACAATATTTTATATGTTGTTTATTGAAGGATTACTAGTGAATAAGTTCATAAAATGCACTAGTCTTAATGTAAAATAATTTTTTACATATGTACATGTCAGTGAAACTACTACCTACATCAAGAGGTAAATTGGTAAAAGATTTGAATTTTTATTTCATATATGGTTGCCACGTTTTTCGTCACATAAAGTCTTATAAATACTGCATTCTGTACTATATGTTTTACAAAGTAACATGCTAAATGCTTGAACTTTGCCTAAGAATAGTATTGCTCATTATTTTTATTTCTTTGGTTTATATTATTATTTTTCGATATTGTATTCTTTGTCTTGCACAAATGAAAGAATCCTGGGCTAGAGATTGATTTTGAACCCAATATAAATCTTTTAACCGGGATATTTAACCAATTTATGAATGAGATCATTCATTTGCATCTTCTTCAATTTAAATAGTCATGCCATTACCTAAATTAGATATGCAATTTAAAATATTTTTAACAGAAAATTCAGGTGAATTCTAAGAAAAAAGCAACACCAATTTTATTCAAATATCTTTGCGAAACTGAAAAAGAAAACCTTTTGGAACTTTTTGTTTGTTTGTTTTAAGACGGAGTTTCGCTCTTGTTATGCAGGCTGGAGTGCAATGGCGCGATCTCGGCTCACTGCAACCTCTGCCTCCTGGGCTTTTGGAACATTTTTAAGTCAAGTTTTACTCTGACACCAAAGCAGACATAACATTACAGGTTAGAAAGTTATAGCTCAATGTAGATGCACAAAATCTTCAATGAAATTATAGTCAATTTAATCCAGCAACATATATAAAGAATATTGTATCATAAGATTTACCTCAGGAATACGGCTGGACGTGGTGGCTCAAGCCTGTAATCCAAGCACTTTGGAGGCCAAGGTGGGCAGATCACCTGAGGTTGGGAGTTCAAGATTTACCTCAGGAATAAAATGTTGGATTAGGAATTGAAAATTAATCAACATAACCAGTACCAAAACTGGAAACACCATTAAGAGAAAAATCCCCAGAAAATGAAGAAACTGAGAAATCTGACTTGGATTGGGGGAATTTAATCGCTGTTTACAATTTGTCACTCTTAATAGATTAAATGAGAATTATATGATCATCGCAACAGAGTCAGGAAAGCCATTTGGTAAAACTCTATATCCATTCATTTTATTTCATTTATTTTTTTCAATTTTTTCCTGTAGGGTTTTTTTTTTTTTAATAATTTTGGGGAAACAGGTGGTGTTTGGTTGCAATAGAAAATTTTTTGGGTTTTTTTTCAGCTTTTAAGTTCTGGGGTACATGTGCAGGATGTGCAGGTTTGTTACACAGTTAAACATATGCCATGGTGGTCTGCTGCACGGATCAACCCAATCACCCATGTATTAAGCCCAGCATCTATTAGCTATTCTTCCTCATGCTCTCTCTCCTTCCAACCCCACCTGCCTACAGGCCCCAGTGTGTGTTGATCTCCCCATGTGTTCATGTGTTCTCATCCTTCAGCTCCCTTACAAGTGAGAACATGGGGTGTGTGGTTTTCAGTTCCTGTATTAGTTTGCTAAGGATAAAATCTTCCAGCTCTATTCATGTCCCTGCAAAGGACATGATCCCATTCCTTCTTATGGTTGTGTAGTATTCCATGGTGTATATGTAGCATTATTTTGTTTATCCAATCTATCATTGATGGGCATTTGGTTTGATTCCATGTCTTTGCTATTGTGAATAGTGCTGCAGTGAATATACCTGTGCATGTATGTTTATATTAGAATGATTTATATTCCTTTGGGTACATACTCAGTAATGGGATTGCTGGGTCAGATGTTATTTCTGACTGTAGATCTTTGAGAAATTGCCACACTGTCCTCCACAGTGGGTAAAGTCATTTACACTTCCACCAACAATGTGAAAGTGTTCCTTTTTTCCCACAACCTTGCCAGCAGGCATTGTTTCTAGACTTTTTAATAATTACCATTCTGACTGGCATGAGATGGTATCTCATTGTGGTTTTGATTTGCATTTTCTAATGATTAGTGATGTTCAGCTTTTTTCATTTGTTTCTTGGCCACACGTAGGTCTTCTTTTGAGAGGTGTCTGCTCATGTCCTTTGCCCACTTTTTAATGGTGTTTTTTTCTTGTAAATTTATTTAATCTCCTTATAGACTCTAGATATTAGACCTTGGTAGGATGGATAGATTGCAAAAATTTTCTACCATTCTGCAGGTTGTCTGTTCAATCTTATGATAGTTTCTTTTGCTGTACAGAAGCTTTTTAGTTTAATTAGATTCCATTTGTCCAGTTTTGTTTTTGTTGCAATTGCTTTTGATGCTTTTATCATGAAGTATTTGCCCATACCTATGTCCTGAATGGTATTGCCTAGATTTTCTTCTAGGGTTTTTATAGTTTTAGGTTTCACATTTAAGTCTTTAATCCATCTTCAGCTAATCTTTGAATGAGGTGTAAGGAAGGGGTCCAGTTTCAATTTTCTGCATACGGCTAGTCAGTTCTCCCAGTGGAAATATTATTTACAGGTAATTTCTGAGATTTTGGTGTAGCCATCACCTGAGTAGTGTACACTGTATCTCATG